GCTCGCGTTGTGTTTGGACGGGCAGGTGGGGGTGTTCAGGGCCCAGCTGCTGACACCTGATCCCGCCCTGGCCAGGTGGGAGGACGGAGATTGGCGGCTGGCCCCTGAGATGCCCAAGATAACCAGTCAAGGATATAACCAGAGTCAATCCCAGTCGAGCTGGGTGATAGGCTGAGATAATGCACAGAGCCACTGAGGCAGATCCTGTCTGGAGACACTCGGGCACCTTGATCGCAGGCAGGCCTGACCTGGCAGGGGGCGGGGGCGAGTTGGCACCAACCTCGGCGTTTCCGTGGCTCGGAGCTTCCGTGCCCTTCGGCTTGCTCTGCTGTAGTTTTGTTTTTGGGTCACACCTGGATGTGCTCCGGGGTCACTCTTGGCTCTGCACTCAGGACTTACTCCTGGACGTGCTTGGGGGTCCCTATGGGATGCCGGGATTGAACCCGGGTCAGTTGTGTGCAAGGCAAATGCCCTCCCCGCTATACTAGACTTCTGGCCCCAAGGCCCAAAACTTAAAGAAAAATCCTTGCTGGGGTTTCCCCGTCCCTGGCGTCCTGTCAGCCTCGTGGGTCTGCACACGGCTTGTGCGACTGCCTCGAGTGGCCAGTGACAAGGGCGCCCGCGTGTCCTCCTGCTCCCCAGGGCTGCTCTCTGCCGGTGCTCCTGGCCCTGCAGCCCTCAACTCCTGCCCTGTGTTCACTCCTCCTTTCTGTGGTGTCCCCCTCCTTTCTCGGTGGCCCTCCCCCTGGGGTCACCCCCCTTCCTGCGTGGTGCTGGGACAGCAGAGCTGCCGGGTTTGTGCCAGCTTTGTGCCAGGTGCACGGTTGACCCCGGGGGCTTGGATTCAGGACCTCCTGCTTGTGAGGCAGTGCTCAAAACCCCCTCTTGTACATTCCTCCCCTCCAAGCTGAAGGAACGGACTTGACCCACGTTCAGGCTCACACTTCTGCTTCCTGCTGAATCACTGCCGGCCACTAGCAGGCCAGGACCCGTGTGCCACGCCTGTGTGAAGCAGGGACGTTCCAGGGCGTGAGCCTGCTAGCGTCTTTGTCATGGACACACGTGGTCCCATCACAGGATTTAGGGTCAGGGTCCAAACACAGGAGCATGGGGGTGGGGGGGTGGGGGCTTGTTCAGGCCGGAGACTCTACTAGGCTCACACACAGCATTGAGTGCTCAAGTCTCAGGGAGACAGTGAGGCTCAAACACATTTTCTTTTGCGCTGTTTTTTTCTCTTTTTTTTTTTTGGCTTTTTGGGTCACACTCAGTGATGCTCAGTGTTGCCTACTGACCAAGTAAAAGAATGCTTGATTTTTCATTCCCCCTTTGTCCTGCTCAAAGCTGGGCAACTTCCCAGTACAGGAGGTTTCAGTTTGGGGAAAATGCACCCTCGTAAATGATTTGTAAATGATGTATGAGGAAGAGCACAATCTTTGCAGATATGTCAAAGCTATATCAAAGCAGGTCGTTCTGACCAATAGCATTATGCCGAAAGGGTCACCAGGTGGCTGACCAACAGTGCATGGCTCTGCTCATTGTCCCATCCACTTTCCCACGTCCCATCCCCTTTCCTTCTTTTGGGTGGGCTGTGGAAACATACTTAAGTCTGTACTTATGCTCTGAATAAACGCACGCATTCATGCCATCTCCTGAGTGACGAACCCTGTGTGACTCGAGTGCTGATTTCACCCTGACGGCCCTCCCCTGGCTCGGCCCCGCAGCGCCGGACGTGGCACTCAGGAATTACTCCTGGCAGTGCTCAGGACTGGTGATCAAATCTTGGTCAGCCGTGAGCAAGGCAAACCCCTCCCCACTGTGCTCTCACTCCAGCCCCTCCTTTTGCATCTTTTTGTGTTTTTTCAGAATTGATTGATTTCCAAGTAGCGTTTGCCGGCCCTGACGTTCTCTGCAGAGTCCCTTGTTGCACACTGTGTTTCGTGGGCACCTTGACATGAAGACTTGGCGCTTGCCTGCTGCATGGCTGACCCCATAGGTCCCCAGAGCACCGCCAGGAGTGATTCCCGAGTGCAGACCCAGGAGTAACCCTGAGCACTGCCGAGTGTCCCAAAAAACAAAAGGAAAGAAAGAAAGTAGGTATCCTTGCCTGGAAGGGTAGCCCAGGGCCAAGGAGCCTGCCTTGGCTGTGGCTGACCCCACCCCACCCTGTACGTCCCTCCCCACCCAGGTCCTGCCAGGATGAGCTCCCATGACTGGATCAGAGTCAGCCCTGAGCACCATCAGATGTCCCGTCCTCAGCCCCCAGGTTAGGTCACTCCGCCCTCCCCCCCTCCCCCCCACTCCCCGGTTCCCGCTCACTCATCCTCAAGGGGACCCGCACTCATTCAGCTTGTGCTCCCATCCGGAGCAGGCCAGGCCATACTCCTCTGTACAGCTCTCAGGCCTTAGTGGGCTGGGCCACACCCTGACCACGGTGCGGCCGGTGTTGCTCACAGCACTGGGGTCACAGAGAGCAGGGCTGTCAGGGTCGAGCTCAGGGCCTCTGCCCTTTCGCTCTGCCCCCCCTGACCCCCCCCCCCCCCCCCCGCGGCTCACAGATTTCCTGGCCCGGCTCCTGAGGAGGGCCCTGGGCAGGGTCACTGGGTCCACGTCCCACTCGGGGGATGCTGAATGACCTCAGTTGGAGATCTGTAACTGACAAACATTTGTCAAAAGTTTTCTGAAACCACTTTCACAGGGCCCGGGGATCCAGAACTGGGCCCCGCTTGGACCAGAGGCTCGTTGGCCATGTAGTGCTGACGTCTGCAGGGCAGCCCTCCGGAGCCTCAGCCAGACACTGACATCACGAAGGGTGGCGCCTGCCCCTTTAAGAATGGCCCATGATGCCCTCCTCCTTGCTGAATTCTAGTTCTACCTCAGAAAATTCTAGACTCCAACTGCCATTTTCAGTCTCTCCACGAGACTGGCACGAGCCTGTTTGGCAGAGCTCAGTACTGAAGCTGCGAGTGCAGTGTGACACAGGTGAATCTGAGTCTCTGGGCTTTCTGCCCGCGTGCGGGCGGCTTTTTTCTCTAACAGTTCTTTAGTGTATGATAGTTTTTAATCTTTAGTTAGTTTAAGTTTTTTTACTAGTTATATATATATTTTTGGGTGGGGTGGGGGCAGGGTGGGGTGGGGTGGCCATACCTGGCTGTGCCCAGGGGTGACCCTGGCCAGCTAACGTCCCTGTGCTGCCGGAGATCGAGCCCAGGACAACTGGATATAAGGCAAGTGCCCTCCCCACTCTCCTGCCTCTCTGCCCCTTGCGGACTTCTCTATTGAAATATGGAATGACTCTGAAGTCAGTGGGCCCTCATGGGGGGCTGATGAGAAGCAGAGGAGAAGATATCACTCCCCCGGGACTGGCTGGAGCGCTGGCACTGCTGAGTGCAATGAGCCCCGCCAGCCCCATGACGCCCACTAGGCCTTCCCGGGGTCTTGGGCCGGAGTGAGGGGTTTCCATTTTCAGGGAAAGGGAGTCGATCCTCGACCTCCTCAGGCCCCAGGGCCTTTGTCCTCCTCGCAGAAAAGCATTTCAGGAGATGAGCATGAAGCAGAAACATTTTATTTGGAGGCCTTTAGGAAGGGGAAGGAGGGAGGGAGTAACACGCTCGAGAGAGAGTGCGGCTTCTCCAGAGGTGCAGATAGCCACTGAACATATTATGTTGCTAGGTTACATTCGGTCTGAAAGTCCACACCTCAGGAGGGGAGAAGCCCGTGACATGACGGACTTCATAGGCAAGAGCAGTACCTGGGCTCGGGCACACATGAGCGCCCTCCCTTGGTTCAAGGTGGCAATCTAGGGATTTCCCCAGGCTGCCACAGGTGGGAGTTTCTAGCTACCTAGAGTCCGTTGCTAGGGTGGTTGCCAAGGGGGTAGAGTTGAGTGGTCCATGGTCCTCTTAGAAATTCCTTTCCTGCCCTTTGTTCCTATTCCCTCGGGGGGTCCAGCCTGCTCTGGGCCTCATAATGTGGGTTAATTTTGACAAGACCTTGGGTCCCGTGCACTCAGGTAGTCTTTTGGTGGCCATGAAGCTTTTGTTGACTTTCTCGGAGTTCCATCGCCATGGGGACGCTTCCCCCATCTACCTGTCTGCCTCAGTTCTGTGGGTTAAGAAATGGAGTTAATACTGGCTTGTGGTTATCCAACCTGGGCAACGTCACAAGGAATGAAGGAAACGCCGAAAACTCCTTCGCTCCCCTTTGGCTCAATTTTTTTTTTCTTTTTGGGTCACACCTGGTGATGCACAGTGTTTACTCCTGGGTTTGCACTCGGGAATCACTCCTGGCAGTGCTTAGAGGACCATATGGGATGCTGGGAATCGAACCTGGGTCAGCCGCGTGCAAGGCAAATGCCTTTCCCAGTGTGCTATCGCTCTCCAGCCACCCATGGCGCAGTCTTGCTGGGTCCTTTTCCCTGGCAGTTCTCAGCCCATAGAAAAAAGTGTGCCTGTTGCTTGCCTTAGCTTCTACGTGTAACCCCGGGCCTCTCATACATGTACATACGCACACACGCACACACAAGACCAGCCATCACTGCTGAGTCGCCTGCCGGCTCGTCAGTGTCTGGACGGGGAGGTGGTCAGAGACACTCGCGGTGCTCAGGGATGATTTCTGGCTCCTGAATGTGTTTGGTGGTGGGAGTGATGGCAGGGAGGGCGTGAGGGTCAGCTGCCTGCAGGGCAAGTACCTGTCCCCTCTGCTCTCTGGCCCCGAATCGGCAGTTGTTTGTTTGTCTGTTTTGGATTGAGTTTTTGCGCAGGAATGGCACTTGGTGGGCTCAGGGGGCTGTGCGGGAGACTGGGGGTCGCACTCGGGGTGGCGAGTGCCAGACTGGCAGCTGTCTGGGCTCCGGAAGCTGCTGTGGTCGCTCGCCTGAGACAGACTCTCTCCTCTGCTCTTCAGAGATTTAGTCCTGAGAACGAGTGTGCCTCAGAAGGCCCCAAAGTGGGCTCGATGGTCGGGGCCTGGTAGTGGCCGCGGCAGCGTCTGACCGCCTGACCATGAGTCTGCTGAGGCCCAGCGGGCTGAAGGCCCCCACCAAGATCCTCAAGCATGGGAGCTGGGCCCTGAAGACACCCTCGGCCGGTAAGTGCGCTCAGCCCAGGCCAACGGAGACTCATTCCCACCCGGGAACCCCATCCCGAGTCCTCGCCCGGGAAGGGCTCCCTGAGCTGTAGACACGTCCGTGGCTCTGGGGACAGCTCTCACACACGAGTGTCACGTTCTGTGAGTTTAGTGTCACGGCAACCGGTGACAGCTGAGGCGACCAACCCGCTCCCTTCTAACTGCTAGCTCCCTGGCCCGGGCTTGGGGACAGGCTTAGGGAGGTGGACTCACCTGGACTAGAGGGCCTCATTGCCGGCCAAAGCCACAGTACAGCGGGGAGGGCAACTGGCACCCCATGTGACTCTCCACCCTCAACCTCACCATGAGTAACCCTGAACGGAGAACCAGAAATAGGCCCTGAGCATTGGCTGGGTTGCTCCCCGCCCAAAAGAAAAAGAAGATGGGCCAGTGGACACAGCAGAAATAAGACACTGGGTTCGAGCTTTCACCTGGCTTGGTCCGTAGTATCACGGGGTGTATCCAAAGATTTCCCTGAGCTGCCCAAAGTATGACTGCGGCCTGGGATGCTGCGGTAGGTGAGCACGTCCGCTTCACGGCTGGCCCGGCCAGGCTTCGCCACAAGCAGCCCCCGTCATTGGCTGGGAGTAGCCACGAGCACTGCTGGGTGTCCCTCTCCCCCAACCACACTTTAACTGCACCTGCACAGGCCCTTCCTGTCCCTTCTGACCCTTTTGACCCTTTCTGCTGTTCCAGCGGCTGCTCCCGTTGAGATGACCGTGCCTGGGGAGAAAAACCCCAGCGCCCCCTCCTCGGAGATGCAGGAGGAGTTTGTGGGCGACTTCCAGGTCGGGGAACGAGTCTGGGTGAACGGGAACAAGCCTGGATTCATCCAGTTCCTCGGGGAGACCCAGTTTGCCCCTGGTCAGTGGGCCGGGATCGTCTTGGACGAGCCCATCGGCAAGAACGACGGCTCGGTGGCGGGTGTGCGCTACTTCCAGTGCGAGCCGCTGAAGGGCATCTTCACCCGGCCGTCCAAGCTGAGTAGGAGCTTGCAGGCCTACGATGAGACCAACTGCCGGCGGCCAGCGCCTGCCGCCTGGGCCACACCGCCCCTGTCGGCCTCCCCGGCCCTTGCCGGCACCACGAAGGTGCCCCAGTCCCCCGCGAAGGAGTCACCGGCCACCCCTCACATCAGCAGCCTGACCAGGACGGCCAGCGAGTCCATCTCCAACCTCTCTGAGGCTGGCTCCCTCAAGAAAGGGGAGCGGGAGCTGAAGCTCGGGGACCAGGTGCTGGTGAGTGCCGAGGGCAGCGGTCGCGGGTGGCTGTCCATTCGCCTGTCTGGTTCATCAGTTCCTCCAGACTCGCGGTTTGGGTGGAAGCAGGAGTAGCCGGGACGCCTGGTCCTGCAGTTTCCAGCGTGATGGATGCGTGCGGGGATGCTGCCAGTTTTACCAGTTTAGCCAAAACAGGGTGGAGGGGTCATGCCGTGGGGAGGGGTCATGCTTTGCACGCCTCTGACCCGGGGTTTAAATCTTGGTCCCATGTACAGTCCCCCAAGCACATCCCGGAGTGATCCGTGAGCACCAAGCCAAGAGTAAGCCCTGAGCACTCTGAATGTGACTCAAAAACAAACCAATGAACAAAGTTGGAAATCGGTTCTATTTCTCTGGTTTTCGATGTTTTTGCTTGGGGCGTCACAGGGTGGTCGCACACAAAGCCAGTGCCCTTCCCCCGGTGCTCCAGCCCTGTTTGTCAGCATTCCTGTCAGTGTCCAGCGCTGTGATTCTGTTTTGCTCTGTGTCCCGGGAGCCAAGCGTCAAGCCAAGGCATAGTGAAGGAGAACTGGAAGATCGAACTCTGCTAAGATACGAGAACAGTCATTTTCCTTTAGCTGGTTTCTGGCTTAATTGTTCTCCAGCGGTGGGGTTGCCAGTGCTCCGCTCCCACACCCAAGGGGCAGCGACCCCCTCGCCACACCAGGTGGCTGGCCTGGGTCAGAGATTCCCGGGGGTGTGGTCAGCCAGGCCACCAGTGACAGCGAGTGGGTGTGAATGCCGCTGCCTTGCATGGACACTGAGCAGCAGCGTCTGCTCACCCTGTAGGCGTTGCGGGGGGAAATGGCACTTTGACCTTTGGGGTTTCTTCAGGAAATCCCGACTCTGAAGCCAGAATGTTCGTTTGCGGGGGTGGGGGCGCTGTGCGCAGTCCAGGGTGCCTGACCCACGTCCCTCCATCCCTCCAGCAGGTGGGAGGCATGGAGGCCCGTGTGGTGCGCTTCCTCGGGGAGACAGACTTCGCCAAGGGGAATTGGTGCGGCGTAGAGCTGGACAAGCCACTGGGCAAGAACGATGGTGCCGTGGCCGGAACGAGGTGGGTCCCCCTGTCCCCCTAGACAGCCTGGGGCCATGCACGGTGCCCGGGAGGCGCTGAGGGGACTGCAGGCCACTTCACTTGGTTCTTAGGCGGGGCCACTTCCGGTGGCACTCGGGTACCTTGCAGGGATGTGGTTACAGCCTGGGGCCCCCATATGCAGCTGTGCTTGGGCCGCAGGAACCCCCCGGGCCTGCTGTCACCCTTCAGATGCCGGGGAGGCTGCTTGGAATCGCCCTTGATTTGCGTGGTGGGGGTGGGCGGCATGCGAGCGAGTGTGGGTGTGAATGTATGAGGGAGTGTGTATGTGAGCGTGTGAGTGTGGGGCTGTGAGAGTGTTGGTGGGGTCGTGGGCATGAGAGTGTTGGTGGGGGTGTGAGCGTGTTTGTGGGGGAATGAGAGCGTGTCAGTGTTGGTTTGAGAGCGTGCAAGTGTTGGTTGGGGTGTGCGTGTGTGTTACTGTGGGGCTGTGGGTGTGTGGAAGTGTTGGTTGGGGTGTGAGTGTGTGTGGGTGTGGGAGTGTCGGTGGGGTGTGAGTGTGAGTGTGTGTTGGTTTGGGTGTGAGTATGTGTGTTTCTGGGGAGTGAGTGTGTGTGAGTGTGGGGCTGTGGACATGTGGGAGTGTCTGTTGGGGTGTGAGTGTGTGTGTTTGATGGGGTGGGAGTGTGAGAGTATGGGAGTGTTGGTTGGGGTGTGAGTGTGTTTGTTGGGCTGTGAGAGTGTGGAAGTGTGGGAGTGTTGGTTGGGGTGTGAGTGTAAGTGTGTGTTGGTTGTGGTGTTTATGTGTGGGAGTGTTGGCTGGGGTGTGTGTGTATGTTAGGTTGTGAGTGTGTGTGAGTGTGGGCTGGTGGAGGGTATGATGTTTGTTGGGGTGTGAGTGTGAGTGTGTTTGTTGGGGTGGGAGTGTGAGAGTGTGGGAGTGTTGTTTGGGGTGCGTGTGTGAATGTGTTTGTTGGGGTGTGAGTGTGTGGGCATGTGGGGCTGTGGGAGCATGTTCGTTTGTGGGGGTGTGAGACTGTGGGACTCAGTGGACTTCTGGGTCGGCGCTTGTGTCTCTTGCCGAAGGTGTTTTTGTCCCCCCCTCCTCGTTGTCCGCAGGTACTTCCAGTGTCAGCCCAAGTATGGCTTGTTTGCTCCCATTCACAAAGTCACCAAGATCGGCTTCCCGTCCACGACGCCGGCCAAGGGCAAGGTGGCCACCGTGAGGCATGTGATGGCCACCACCCCCGCCAGCCTGAAGCGCAGCCCTTCGGCCTCCTCGCTCAGCTCCGTCAGCTCCGGGGCCTCATTCGAGAGCAGCAGACCCGGCCGCACGGGACTAGTAAGCAGCCCCCCACCACTGCGGGGAGCTCGGGCCCCCACAGAATCCCACAGCCCCAGGGGCGAGAGGCGGAGCAGGAGCACGTGGGCTGAGCAGCTCCGGGTGGCAGGCGAGTGGCTTCTCAGCCACCACCAGTGACAGGAGCAGGGATGGGCCTTTCCTGGGGTGCTCAGGGCTCCTCTCTGGCCTCAGGCCACCTTAGGGATGAAGTGGGGTAGCTGAAGGGGTGCCTGAGTGTCAGAGCAGGGCCCAGAGACTCTGGGGAACGCTTGGCCCTTCATCTTGCTTCTTTGCTCTCTCCGTCTCTCCCTGCTCCCTCCTGTCCCTCTGCACCGCTGTCCACATGCAGAGTGGCCTCGACTTCTGTCCATTGCGGTGCCGCAATTCAAAGCTGGGGCCTCGTGGCTTCTCCCCTCACGTCTATCTGAGTCATAAACACTAAAGTGTGTCTGAATATGCAAGGGTGCCCTGAGATATTGTCCACAGGGAAACGGGCCCACGATGGAGAGGGTGTCCCGGGGGGCTGGCTTTGCTGGGGGCTGCGCTTCCTGCCGCCGCCTCTGCTCCGTGCTATTGACCCTCGATGCGGAAGAGGAGGGAGTGAGTGTGTGTGCAACAGAAGATACAAAACAGATGACACGGGAACGGGAGCCAGGAGGCCACGCGCCGTGGGCACAGGCCTGGGGCCAGTCCTGTCTTGCTCGACCACCACCAGGTTTCCCTGCCCCACGTGCATCCTCACGTCCGACTCCTCCTTCCCTTCGCCTCACCATTTAGGAGGAGAGCAGACTCAGAAGCCCCTCTCCTTCCCTCGCGAACCAGCCCATTTGTGGAATTTGGTTTTGTTTTTCTGCTTGACTGTGGGCTATACCCTACAGTGCTTCAAGGGGCCGTTTGCAGTGCTGGGGTTTTGCCGGTGCCTCCCACCTCCAAGCAAGAGCCCTTCGCCTGAGACGTATCTCCAGCCCCCCCACCGCTATCTTGTTTTGTTCTGTTTTGGGGTCACACTTGGCAGAGCTCAGGGCTTTCTCCCACCTCTGTGCTCGGGATTATTCCTGCCGGGCCTCCGGGATTGACCCTGGGCAGCGCTGGGGCTTCGCTCTCCAGCTCTTTGGCCTCTGCCTTGCATATCTTTATGCAGGGTGGAGCTCACTCCTAAACTGAACATCACCGTTAGCATCTATGACAGGAATATAGAAAGATTCTGTGTGACTTCACGGAAGTATACCTCGACAACATAATTCCATAAGTGCACACACAAGCGTTCATACACACAGTCACTCATACATGTACACATAGTGCATACCGTATATACACAGGCTTATGGGTATACACACACAGGCACATACATGCATAAACACAACGCGCGCATGCACACAGGTGCGTGTAGATATGCCCACTGGAACATACATGCACGCATACATACATGCACATGGGTCCGTGCGTGCCCTATGGAGGCCTCCCTGTTTGTCTGTTGGCTGAGTTGCTGTTCTGAGGTACCAGGCTCCCACAGAAGGCCTGGCCTTGCTGGGATGGAGCCTGGGGCCTCACAAACCACGCGCAGGGCAGAGGCTTTGGCATCAGCATCCTGAGTTCAGCTCGTGGCCCCGAACTTGCCAGCCCCTCAGCACGCGCCTCCCCCCATGCTAGGGGTGCTGCTTTCTCCCTGCTCCGGGGCCTGAACCTCACAGTCTCGTCTCCATAGTTGGCTGAAAGAAGCCCATCGCTCCTGTGCTGGTTTCCTCAGGGCCCAGGAAGCGCGTGCTTCTGGCCTGCCCCACCCGCTCAGGCCAGGAGGCTCAGGGAACACCTCCGCCCGCCTTTCTTAGTTTTTATTTTTGCTCTTTGGGGTTCACCTGGCAGTGCTCAGGGACTCCAGGCGTGGTGCTTGGGGGCTGCTCCCGGTGGAGGGGGGTTGAGCCCGGGTCTTGGTGTTAGACCCCCAAGGCTGGCAAGCTCTTACCAGCCACCCCTTGAAATCCGAGTTGACTGCAGTTCCCGAGAGCACTGCACATGGCTGGCCCGAGAGCTCGTGTGCTCCTAGAAATTTTAGTTATTATTTGGTTTTGGGGACACACCCAGGGGTGCTCAGGGCTTATTCCTGGCCCTCTGCTTGGGGGGTGGGGTCACACCTGATGGTGCTGGATCTTGAACCTCTGCAAGCACCTTCCCCCACCCCCCCCAACAGACTCTTTGGCCCTGGGGAGGGCATTTAATCGGACCAGATATACTTTAAGTGTATCGGGAAATCACGGCCAGGTCCTTACGCACAGGCAAGGATGATCCCGCTCTCCGGACAGAACCAGGTGGCTCGAGAGCTCCCAGCAGGCAAAGCAGCAGTGGACAGCCTGGGCCTTGCTTGGCCCGTCGGTCAGGAGGCGTTTGGCAGCAGCTCAGATGATGCGGGAAAGCGGCAAGAGAACCTGCGGCTGGACCGCAGCAGGGCGATGGAACAGGGATGGCCGGGCAGAAGGAGCGGAAGTCCTGGCCATCGCCGCTGCAGCCCCCGCCACCATGTGCCCGAAGAATGAAGATCAGGTCCCGCCTTGTCCCCTCCTGCAGGGGCCGTTGTGCAGAGAGGGATCTGGGTCTGCAGAGCAACATGAG